TATATTGTTGAATGGAGGGTAATCGTTTACTTGTTGGTGGATGCATACATGTGGTTTTCCCTTTCCGCTGCTAGTCATCGTTGAAGGGGAATGGTCTTCCCTGCCAATAAAGACACCATTAAGAAAACAATGAATTCAATAATTTTCCCCAGTCCCTACGTCGGTGGCTTGTCTTCATTGAAGGAGAATTGACATTGATGTGGAATTCATCAGCTTTGTTGATGAACTTGGACCCAGAGTATTCACGTCCTGCCAATAATGAGCTAGAAGAAAACAGTGAATTCAATAATTTCTCCCCTGCCTCTACATGGGCGGCCCTCTTCCCGCTGTTTGTCTTCATTGAAGAAGAAATGACATTATGTAATTCAACTTGTTGATGAACTTGGACCCAGTCTCCCCTGCCAATAAAGAAAGAAACCTTTAGGGTCTGTTTGGATTCAAACATTTTCGGGACAAATATCTCTAAGAAGCCAAACCTGTGTTGAAGCTGGCTTGACATTAAATATGGACGCAAAATTTAAGAATATAACAAAATAGTTTTTTAATCTGATAACATGTTATTACAAGTTGTAACCAGCTAGCTATATTCTTTAGAAACCATTTCCAAACAAAAAATTAATATAGGAAGATTTTCTTCCTAAGAAAGTGGTAAAATTGGAATATTATAGCTGATTATCACACAAAATAACCAGTTAACTCCTCAACGATTTTTGTGCGTGCTCGTATTTAAAGCTAGACCAACTATTTTCATGTTGGCTTCTTGTGAATGTTTTTTCGGAAAATGTTTGCATCCAAACGTACTCCCAAGAAACAATGATCGACTTCAATAATTTCTCCCCAGTCCCCACATTGGTGATCCTCCAAAGAAAAAAAAAATCCGCGTACGTATACATAGCGTTGCTACAGAAAGCCTGAATCCGCTCACGAGCATGACGCTATCCAATGTGACGTAAATAACTCCTTCTTCTGATGAGCATTGCTAGGAACACTCGCCATTTGCACTCTCCAACCAACACTTCCATTTTCATTGGACCACGTTATGTTGGTTGGGAGAGTTAATAATTTCAGAGCTGAAGAAAGCTTACGTGGCCCAATAAAGAAGCATGTGTTGGCCGCAGAGTGCAAGAGGCGAGTGCCCCTAGCACTGCTCTCTTATGATATAAAATAATTGTTATTTTTAATTTTTTTAAATTAAAAAGTTTAAATAAATTTAAATATATATTTATATTATTAAAAAAATTA